GGTTTTCTGGTGGTTTATTGTAGATAAGAGTCTCACGGTCTCTCCTGCCCAGGCTGGCTTTGAACTGCGATCCTCAGATCTCAGCCTCCTGAGTAGCTAGGATTACAGGCGTGAGCCACCAGCGCCCGGCTTTTCCTATAGTCTTAAGTTTAACCTCTTCCCTCATAAGTACATGGAATCCTTTGACTTGGGTAGTCAGATACATTGAACTTTTTGTGTGTGTGTGTGCTGGTCCTAAGGCTTGAACTCAGGCCTGGATGCTGTTCCTGAGCTTCATCTTTCTCAAGACTAGAGCTCTAGTCCTTGAACCACAGAACCAATTCTTTTTGCTAGTTAACTGGAGATGAGAGTCTCATGGACTCTCCTGACAGGGATGGCTTTGAACCACAATCCTTAGATCCTTAGGCTCCTGAGTCTCTGGGTTATAGGCGTGAGCCATTAGATCTGTTGAACTTTTGAGAATGCTGCTTTTGCTGTATTTACCTTGAGCTAAATGTGTTTTCCTTTTCTTCTTACAGCTTATACAATACAGTTAAGTCTTGAATTCCTCCCCAGATATCTAGTGTGATATCTGGATTGTAGTAACAACTGTATAGCAAAGTCTTGCTAAGTAGCCCATGTTGGCCTTCAACTGGAGAGCCTGCTGCCTCCACTTCCCCAATGCTGGGCTTACCAGTGTGCCACCATGCCTGGCTTTTTCTTAATTATAAAAGTAGTAGTATATGCTTATTAAGTAAAATTTATTAAGACAAAATGTGTCTTGTACATAATCAGTAAACAAATGTATGGGGCACCTAACCATCCTCTGAAAGGTAGAATTAACACCTGCCCCCATGCAGTTGATGAGATGATTGTTGTGTGTGAAGTGTGTTGTCTGGAGCCCAGGGCCCCATGCATTGTAAAGATGAACAGAGAATATGCACCTGCCTCTCTGCGAAGCGTATGTGGTGTGAGCTGCAGTCTCTGAATAGTCTCCAGTGTATTGATTGCTCTTTGTCACACTCAGCTCTCTGCACTTAAAAAGATTCACACGTCATCAAGCTAGTGAAGATTGCCCTGTTTTCCATTACACCAGTGATTTTGGAGTTGGATGGTACACCCAGTATTAAAATCACCCAGGGCACGACATAATCCCACAGATGAGGCTGAAGCTCGAGGATCAGGAACCCGGGCTGGCCTGGGCTACCCAGTGAAACCTCTCAAAACAGCGCCCATCCCTGAAGCAACTACAGGAAGTCCCCCTTAACTCTGGAGCGTAGTCACTCACACTTGGGAATTATCACCCTAAATGCAGATAGGGCCTAGGTTTGTTTGTTTGTTTGTTTGCTTCAGGGGTGATCTGGGTGGAAGCCTGTATGCCCAAGGAAAACTACTTATTTATGAGTTCCTGTTGTGTATTTGTGGCTTGGCTGCCAGTGACGTTTGTGGAACTGGATCTTATAAATCTGCTCTTGGCTGTCTGTCTGAAGAGGTTTTCCTTTCTGAAGCCTTCCAGGAGCACACTTCTGAGGGCATGTTCATAATCTGGACTCTGACTTGGTTGGTTACGTTTTTGGTTTTCAGTTGCTAATGTGGTTGTTTCCCTTACTTTGCAGACAGGTTAACTTTATACAGTGAGAAGTTACTGAGGCGGTGGTTGTACTTGGTTGTACTGGGAAAAGCTTGCTTTGACCTTCTGGATCTTGTGAATGGTTACAATCAGTTCTTAGGAGGCTTTATCTCTAATGAGTTTCTGGGGAAAGTGCCTTTTATTTGTTTAAACAATAGAAGAAGGCCGGCAGAATCTTAACTGATAGGCATTTGTTTTAGTGCTATTAACACTCTTCCTGATTCCCTGAACTGTGTACTCCCTGTTCTGTGGATTGTTTGTTATGACTGTGCTTAATAAGAAAGTCAGGAAATGTTATGTGTTAAGGTTCAAAAACAATCAAACCTCTGAAATACCACTTTTAACCGCTTCACTGATTCCTGTCTTTACTTAATTTAAGCTGTCTTTACCTAATTTAAAGGGCTTGTGTGGCTGTGGCCTAAACAACTGCGGACAGTCCTCTCACTCCAGGGCATCCAGGGCACACACCGGTGGGCTTTAGTAATGGCTTTCCTGTTCTCTGCTGCTGCCCCAAATCAATTTGTGAGGGAGAGGGCAGTCCACACTTTTCAGAAGTACAAAAGATTTCTCCAAACTCCCACTGTACTCAATTCAAAACCTAACCAATTGCTCTTTAGTTTTATGTCATTAACATCTCTCCAGCCAGATTACCTTTTTCTAATAGAAACTTTGTTACCGGTTTTGAAATCCCCTTTAGAATACCACATGTTCCAGGTCACTGCTGGGTAAATGATACCAGCTGAAGAGTCTTAGTTTACATTTCACTCCCACTCAAGCCTGAAATTGGGAGCCTCTGTTTCCTTGATTCAAGGAAAACACATTGTAAGACAAAATTTAGGGCTAGGAAGAGGCCTGAAGGCCATTGTGGACTTAGAGTAGTTAGGCTACAGGCTTAAGACTCGGCTCTACTTGGAGAATTTAGGAATGCTATAGTTTCTCTGAGGCTTTTTCCTCTGTTGTAAAGAGAGGTGAAAAAGTTCTTCCGCCAGCTAGGTTGTATTGTTTTGTGCTGGTACTGGGACTTCAACTCAGGACCTCCTGCTTCTCTTGGCTTTTTTGTTCAAGGCTGCTGCTCTACCACTTGAACCACTTGAACTTGCTGGTTAAGTGGAAATAAAGTCACTTGGAGGTTTTCTACCCAGACTGGCTTTGAACCTTGATCCTCAGATCTCAGCCTCCTGAGTAGCTAGGATTACAGGCTTGAGCCACTAGTGCTGCTACAGGGAGGCTTATTGTGAAGATTAAATAAGTTATAAAAACATTTGTGGAGCAGATAAGGATGAAAGTGAACTATAGGGAGAGAGAAGGAACAAAAGACACTGTATGAAAGGAAATGTACTTTATACTTGACTTGTGTAATTGTAATCCCTGGGTACATCACCTTTATAACAATAAAGTAAATTAATAAAAATTTGTGGGATACTGAGAAGGCGTTTATAAGGAACAATTTGTGCATGAAATGCTTACATCAGAAATGGGAAAGCAGAACCTATATGCGGTGGTGTGAATTGAAAATCCCCAGGATACAGACCACCGACTCAAAAACCAAATCTTGATTATAAGGGAATTTATTAGTAGTAAAAGGAAATTTAACAATAGCCAATTATAACCGGCCAGGACTACCCAGGTATTTGGGAACATAGAAGCAGCTCCAAATAGCAACAAGCGGGGTTTTTATGCCCCCAAATGGGGGGAGAGGGTATGTAAATGAATCTTTCTAACTAATGTTCTGCAAGCCAGGCAAAATACAGAAGCTAAATATCTGGTTGTCAGCAAAAAAAAAAAAGGTAGGCACCAGACCTACCGCTCAGAATAGAATTGGCTGCCCACAAACCTACCTCCCGTCCTAAGTTCTTTTTAGGGGCTTTTGTGAGTTCGTCTGGCAATTTCTTGCCACGCTTCCCAGCAGCAGCAGCATCGCCTGCCCGCCCGCCCGCCCTGGGTTTTAGCACTCTCGTGGCTTCTCTGATGCTGCTGAGTGCCTCATTTCATTTACCTTATTTCAGTGGCGCATGTTTGTCATCTCAGACTTGGGGGCCAAGGCAGGAAGGTTTCAAGTTGGAGGTCAGTTTGGGCTTTGTGGTGAGGCCCTATCTCAAAACAAAGGGAGAAATAAATAATCAAAGAAACATGAACACCTTTGCCGTCTCAATAGAAAAATCTCTGTGGTTTGTGTACTTTTATGAAAGCCTAAATAGGATGGTGGTGCAGGCTGGACCTAACAGAAAGTGGGACTGCCTCAGAAACAACCAGAGCAAGAAAGGCTTGGAAGTGCAGCTCGGGTGGAGGAGGAGCTGCCTAGCAAGTGTGAACCCTGTGTTCAAGCCTCTCTGCTGCTCTTTTGGAAATGTAAAAAGGCTACCAGAATTAAAGCCTAGCAGTTAGGGTACAGAACAGCGTAGACATAGAATAGAGAATAATGAGCTGGATCAAAGCTGTGGGCTAAGTCCTTTTGTGGCTTGCGTTTTACATGTTGTGAAGTAAGGATGATCTTTTCATTTTGAAAGTTTTTTTTTTTTTTTTTGGTGGAGCTTGAACTCTGGGCCTGGGTGCTGTCCCTCAGCTCTTCAGCTCAAGGCTAGTGCTCTACCATTTGAACCACAGCACCACTTCCAGTTTTCTGGTGGTTTATTGCAGATAAGAGTCTCATGGACTTTCCTGCCCAGGTCGGCTTTGAACCGCAATCCTCATATCTCAGTCTCCTGAGTAGCTAGGATTACAGGTGTGAGCTACCAGCACCTGTGGGGCACCCCCTCCCCACCCCGGCCCCGGCCCTGGCAGGTTGCTTGCTATGTAGCCTAGGTTGGCTTGGAACTGTCTCAGCTTCCTGCATGCTGGGATTATAGGCATGTGCCACAAGTGGCTATGAAATTTTTTTTGGAAAAGGTGGATGAAAGAAATCAAGAATATTCTTTGGCATAGCATGGTAGGATTTCTAGACATGTTGATTTAAAATTAAAGCAGGCCGGACACTGGAGTCTCATGCCTGTAATCATAGCTTCTCAGGAGACTGAGACCTGAGGATTGAAGTTCAAGGTCAACCCAGGCAGAAAAGCTTGTGACTCATCTCCAGTTAACCATCAAAACTGGAGGTGACGCTGTGGCGCAAAAGTGGTAGAGCACTAGCCTTGAGGGGGGAAAAAGAAAAAATGCTCAGGGATAGCACTTAGGCCCTGAGTTCAAGCCCCACCACCAACAAAATAAAAGTTAAAGCAGGTAGAGAGTTTCTATAGTCAGTATTGATTGTAAAGTTTAGGGAGAGCAGGACTGGTGAGCCTACAGTACTCTCACATCCTCTATTTTTTTTTTTTTTACAGAAATGTTATTTCCATGTGCTCATCTCCACTGTAGAAGGTTAGGACACCGAGACATAAGGTTGACAACAGGCCTGTCCCTGAAGGATAAGAAGTAATGTTTCTCATTTCTAAGTATGCGATCCTTTTCAGAAGATCAATTTACTAGTTCTATTTTAAGAAGGAGCACATGATGTGCTAATGGAAGATAAATGGAAGCAAAGTGGAAAACACCTTTGTTTCTGGAAAGCTGCATCTACTACTGGGTAAAGATCAAAGTGTTCTCTTCAACTCTAAATTAGACAAATGTCTCACAGTCACTTTGTTAAGTGGTTTGAAAAGAATTTTTCATACCAGGCACACGAGTACCGATATCCTGGCTGGAAAGCATAGTATTTTTCTTCGCCCTATGTGGATGTCCAGGTCTCGGATGATAAATTCCTTACAGATGACTTTGCCTACTGTTGACTCTAGTTGGTTATCATTTAATAGGAAGAGGCTGGGTGGTGGTGGTGGTGGTGGTGGTGGTGGTGGTGTGTGTGAGCTGAGAGTGTTTAGGTTACGTATCTGGGGCCATTTCTTACCACAAGTAATTTACTTGTACTAGACAATCACAACTCTGTACTTACTGTTCTTTGAGACATATACCTGTATTCCAGCCATTGTTCTCTTAGAAGACTTAAGTGTTTTCTAGAAGTGTACTGGAGAGAAGTGGGGGTTGGAGATAATCTCATAAGACTGATATGATTCTCTTTCTTTTACAGGCCTGACGGTTGGCAGTGACATGGATGAGAGGCTGGCAATTCTAACTGCCAGCTTCTGTATAACTTGACTAGAAACTATGCATATTGGTTGGTCAGCAAAACCAGGGAACAAAAGCTATGGCAGTTGACGTGGTCTCTCTGATCCCAGACCATTGTTCCTGGGCTTCACCCGCAGGAGCCTCCTTTTCACCTCAGCGATGTGGCACTATTTCCTGCTGGGTGAAGGCTGAGGACACATTCCCTGGCCAGCAGCCAGGACTTAACATACGCCAGAATAGGATTAGAGACCACTGCATTCGAAGCCAAGGAAAATGAAGCTTGCATTTCATTTGGTGCCTTGTGTATGGAATGCACGAACATTTCTAGAAGTGCATGTGTGAAAAGTGGCTCCGTTTTGTTCAACAGAAACATGGGTATGGCGAGTGACCCAATGTAATCGGTGGCGGCGAGAGCCCTGGGGTACTCATGACGGGGTATACCATGTTGCGGAATGGGGGTGTGGGGAACGGAGGTCAAACCTGTATGTTGCGCTGGTCCAACCGAATCCGGCTCACGTGGCTCAGTTTCCTGCTCTTTATCATTCTGGTGTTCTTCCCGCTCATTGCTCACTACTACCTCACCACTCTGGATGAGGCTGATGAGGCAGGCAAGCGGATTTTTGGCCCAAGGGCTGGTAATGAACTGTGTGAGGTAAAGCACGTGCTGGATCTCTGTCGCATCCGTGAATCTGTGAGTGAGGAGCTCTTACAACTGGAAGCCAAGCGGCAGGAGCTCAACAGTGAAATTGCCAAGCTAAACCTGAAGATCGAGGCCTGTAAGAAGAGTATTGAAAACGCCAAGCAGGACCTGCTGCAGCTCAAGAATGTCATTAGCCAGACTGAGCATTCGTACAAAGAGCTGATGGCCCAGAATCAGCCCAAACTGTCTCTGCCCATCCGATTGCTCCCTGAGAAGGATGATGCCGGCCTTCCTCCCCCAAAGGTCACACGGGGATGCCGGCTGCACAACTGTTTTGATTATTCTCGCTGCCCTCTCACCTCTGGTTTTCCTGTCTATGTTTATGACAGTGACCAGTTTGCCTTTGGGAGCTGTCTGGACCCCTTGGTCAAGCAGGCTTTTCAGGCTACAGCTCGAGCCAATGTGTATGTTACAGAAAATGCAGACATCGCTTGCCTCTATGTGATATTGATAGGAGAAATGCAGGAGCCCGTAGTGCTGCGGCCTGCTGACCTTGAGAAACAGTTGTTTTCTCTCCCGTACTGGCGGACAGACGGACATAACCATGTCATCATCAATCTGTCCCGGAAGTCGGACACACAGAACTTACTGTATAATGTCAGTACAGGCCGCGCCATGGTGGCCCAATCCACTTTCTATGCTGCCCAGTACAGACCTGGCTTTGACTTGGTTGTGTCACCACTGGTCTATGCCATGTCAGAGCCCAACTTCATGGGGATCCCACCACAGGTGCCAGTTAAGCGGAAATACCTTTTCACCTTCCAGGGCGAGAAGATTGAATCGCTGCGATCCAGCCTTCAGGAGGCTCGCTCCTTTGAAGAAGAAATCGAGGGCGACCCTCCAGCCGACTATGATGATCGCATCATTGCCACCCTCAAGGCTGTACAGGATAGCAAGCTGGATCAGGTCCTGGTGGAATTTACCTGTAAAAACCAGCCCAAGTCCAGTCTGCCCACAGAGTGGGCACTGTGTGGGGAGCGGGAGGACCGCCTGGACTTACTGAAGCTTTCCACTTTTGCCCTCATCATCACCCCTGGGGACCCCCGCTTGCTCATCTCATCCGGGTGTGCCACGCGGCTCTTTGAGGCCCTGGAAGTTGGTGCTGTCCCTGTGGTGCTGGGAGAGCAGGTGCAGCTCCCGTACCAGGAGATGCTGCAGTGGAACGAGGCGGCGCTGGTGGTGCCCAAGCCCCGGGTGACGGAGGTCCACTTCCTGCTGCGAAGTCTCTCCGACAGTGACTTACTGGCTATGAGGCGGCAAGGCCGCTTTCTCTGGGAGACTTACTTCTCCACTGCTGATAGTATTTTTAACACCGTGCTGGCTATGATCAGGACTCGCATCCAGATCCCAGCTGCTCCCATCCGGGAAGAGGTAGCAGCCGAGATCCCCCATCGTTCAGGCAAGGCAGCTGGAACGGACCCCAACATGGCTGACAATGGGGACCTGGACCTGGGACCAGTAGAAACGGAACCACCCTATGCCTCACCCAAATACCTCCGCAACTTTACTCGGACTGTCACTGACCTTGCCCGCAGCTGGAACTCTGCCCCTGGGCCTTTCTATCTGTTTCCCCACACGCCCTTTGACCCTGTGTTGCCCTCAGAAGCCAAATTTTTGGGCTCTGGGACTGGATTTCGGCCTATTGGTGGTGGAGCTGGGGGCTCTGGTAAGGAGTTTCAGGCGGCCCTGGGAGGCAACGTGCCCCGGGAGCAGTTCACGGCAGTGATGCTGACTTACGAGCGGGAGGAAGTGCTGATGAACTCCTTAGAGAGACTCAACGGCCTCCCTTACCTGAACAAGGTGGTGGTGGTGTGGAATTCGCCCAAGTTGCCCTCAGAGGACCTTCTGTGGCCCGACATTGGCGTCCCCATCATGGTAATAGAGAAGCAGGCATGAAGTAGAATGTCGCGCTTACTGCCTTTTCTAACTTTCCTTTAACTATCCCAACCTTTAAAAGAGAGAAATACATATCTAATATTCCACCCCATCCTCTCAGTGTTAGGGACTGAACCCAAGGCCTTGTATGTGCTAGTACCCTGTTGTTGTTGTTTTGAAATTGTTTTCTGTTTATTGTTTTTTTCCTGTTTGCTTTGTTTTTTGTTTTAGGTCCATCGTGGGGCCTGAACTCTGGGCCTGGGCGCTGTCCCTCAGCTCTTCAGTTCAAGGCTAGCACTCTACCACTTGAGCCACAGCACCACTTCTGGCTTTTTT